AGTTCTACTAGTAGTTTTAGATAATAGATTACCTTACCTTACAGGAAGATGGCAACATTAGAGTACAAGTGAAGTGGCAGATCTGGAGTTAGAACTGGTAGGATTTCTTGATGGACTGCATATGGAATTAAATATGCAAATCAAGGATGACTTAATGGTGTGAGATGCTGGAGGTGGTATTTCTAGAGATGGGAAGTACTAGAGGGAGAACTAGATTGGTTGGGCGAAATCAGTTTGGGCCATGTTAAATTTTTAATGCTTTGCTATATCCAGATGGAGTTGGCAGTAGGCAGCTAGAGGTAGATCTTTTGAGCTGCAGGAAAAGTTTAGAAATACAGATTTGAGAGTTATTAGCTTCTCCCAAATTTCCTTTAGTTATCCTTTCTCCAGCATCATCAATATCCTCTATCATTCTCATGAGTTGAAAACATGCCCTAGTATTACCCATCATTTAAAACAAAGTTCAACAAGAAATATAACTGCTGCCTCTCTGTCCTGCTTCATTTTACAGTGAAATCTCCCATTCAGAGGCTAATGGATTTAGAAAGTTTATGGGATCAATGGCTAGATGGTCACTACAGCAGGGAAATACTAATAGAGTTGGATAGGAGGTAATGATTTAGAAAGTGGGTGTTCAAAATAAAAATTTCAGAGGTTAGAGCAGTGTTAGTAAAGAATTAAAAGACAATAGGAATCAGGGTTCCATTGTATGGTCAAATTTAGTGTTGGCACTTGGGGCTGACATGCTAGCTCAGCCTCACAGAGCTTCACAGTCAAGGCGCAACCTGATTGGCTGTTGCCCTGCCTTGCTGGTCAAGCAACAATTTTAAGGAACATTGACAAACTGGAACACAGTCACAGAGCATAGTGACCAGGATGTTGAAGGGTACGGATACCTGGATATACCTTTATCTTGGTGAAAAGAGAAGACAGAAGGATCATAATTCTTCTTTTCAAATATTTATGGGATTCTCGTAGAAGCCACGTATGAAACTTGTTCTGTGTAATAATATCTAATAGTTATTGAGTATTTACCATGATTCAGGCATCATCCTAAGAACTTATAGCTCTCTTAATCTTCTTAAAAATCCTACAGAAGTAGGTTGTATTATTCTCATCTTAAGGAGAAGGAAACCGGATCGCAAAAAGATCGAATAAATTGCCCTCAGTGACATAATAAGTAGAGAAAGTAGGATTTACCCCAAGCATTCTCACTCAAACATTTAACAATCTTGGCCTCTATACTAATGGCAGTCATTACTTTCATACCTTTTGATTCAACATGAGAAAGAACAGTCTAGCAATTGGAACTGTTCAAAAATAGAAAATGCTTATAAGGTCTATGTCGTATTTTCAAGGCTAGTAATCATATGCCCAGTGTTATTTCAGAAGGAACTCAGTGTTCGATGAAAGATTAAACTAAATGATCTCTAAGTTCTGTATTTAATCTAGTCCCTTACTTCTCACCTAGCTACCACCCACCTTAAACCTACCGATTTTGTGTGTTATCCGTATTTCTAAGTCATTAGTAAATATACTGTACTTGGAAGAACCAAGGATAGGTCCTTTGTCATACCATTAAGATCTTCCCTCCAGGTTAACATTGTGTGGCTATTTAATCAGCAGTGAAGCTTCCTAGCCACATAATTATCCAGTTACGTTCTGTATCCTTTCACAGGAACATCGTCAGATACTTTATTACGTGCTTCACTGAAATCAAGATTCGTTATGCCTACTTCATTTTCCCTAGCCACCATCTAATTATCTCTTCTGAAAATTAAAGTAAATTAACTTACTGTGGCAAGTTAGGGATTCCATGCTGGCTTCATGTGGCCACTGAGTCATTCTCCAAGTGTTCAGAAGCCAGCTGTCTAATAATTAGCTGCAAACTTTTGCTGAGATTTATTTTTATTTAACAAACACAATACTTTATAAATACCAATTCACTTAATCCCATGTATTATTATTTTTGTCTCCATTGTGCAGATAAGAAATTTGAGGCACAGACAGAATTTAAATAACTGACCCAAGACCCTATATTAATAAATTGCAGAGCTGGTGGATAGAATCTGCCTGCAAACACTGAGCTGCATTACTTCACTGACAGGTGACCTTGAAAGTTCCCTACAACTCTGTTTTCTCTATCTCCTACCACCCCCCCAAACCCAAATCTCCTTTTTAAACGGAGTATCATTTTCCCATTTCCATTATTTTAAAACTTCTCGGGGGATTTGTTGTTTCTACCCAGATTTCTTTGTCATGGTATATCCCAAAGCTCCCCACCACTTCCAGTTCACCGTACAGTTTCTTTGACGATGAGAATGGTGGGGAGAATCAGATCCCCCTCCTCCCCATATTTCTTTCTTAGCTTTCTCAGATAAAATTATCTTTCAGACAAATCAATCGTGTGTCCTTGTTTTAATTTAGGAGATTTTAATTACAGCATGTACAGCTGAATTACTGCAAATGCCCTGTCACTATCAGAACCACCTGTGCGCCAACTTTTTTGTTTCTGAATGAGGGAAGGAGCCTCACATTTATTCGATATTTAGGCAACCTGCGTATCGTAGTTTGAGCTTCTGTAACAAAAATTCATAGCCTGAGCGGTTTAAACAGCAACCATTTCTTTCTGAGTTCTGGGGGCTGTAGGGTCCAATATTTGGCATCTGGTGAGAGCTAGCTTCCTAGTTCATACGCAGCTGCCTTTTCACTGTACCCCACACGGCGAAAAAGGGGCCTCTCTTACAAGGGAACTAATTCCATTCATGAGGGCTCTACTCCAGAGACACCCAATCACCTCGCAAAGGTCTCATCTCCTAATACCATCACATTGGGGGGTAGGATTTCAACATACAACATACAACATACAGATTTCTGGGAGAGGACACAAGCATTTTGGACCATACGCTGTTTCTCTGTCCACTTACTTTCACCAAAATACCACTTTTCTTATTTTTTACAATCCCAGATGGGTACACAACTATGTATCATTTCATATCAATTGCTAACCCAGCCTTTTCCCTTTGATCTTTTAAAATGTGTTCCCTTTCATTGTTACGGTCAAATCATGAATTCCGTCCTGCAAATCTTGATCCTACACTCTTCATAATAATTCCTTTGTCAATATGAACAGTTTAGGATTTCATATCTCCTCTTTACTGTCTTTTACCTATGTTATTGACAGAAGTCTTTTAATTATTGAGTATTTTTCTCACCGCAGCTCATTTATGTGGCTCCATGGAAGAATTTGTCTTGATATCCAGTGATGCTTACCTGACGGCATTTTAAGACGGATGAGTCTGTGGGAGAAAGAGGTTTTAAACTTATTTTGGAAGATATGATTCAGAAAAGCAATACTGGGATCAAATTGCCAATCAGTGGTAAGTAATTGTTTTTAAATGTTTATTAAAGTAGGCACCTCGTAGGTCTTGAAGTAGAACTGGGAACACTGGTTCAAAGGTCACTGAGGACAACTTCATTTCAAACCACTCCTCAGCGCAGGGAACTTTGGTAGCTGAGATATAGCTACCAAAGTTAATTGAGGTAATAAAGTTAATTGGTGTGTGTGATTTAAGAAATAATGATACACATAAAGTCAATTGCCATTTGAAAGATCCAATGGGGACATTCAAGCTGAAACAAGCAGTTCAGAGTGTTTCCGTGTCTGTTACCATGTCTCTTTGATTAAGTAACCACCCCCCATTCCTGTAAAGGCCCCAAGAGGGAATATTTTAGCTGAACACGTACAAATTTCCCTGCATAAAATAGAACAAATTTAATGATTTTTCTACTGCTCCAACCTACTTTTAAGCCAGAATTTCATTAGTTGTGCTTAAGATCCAAACGCCTCATGAATGTGTTGTTAGGAGATTCTTTTGATTGGAGGATAATTCTGGGAAGAACTCTGATCAACACGCAATGCAAAGTTCTTTTTGACATCAGTTTGTCTTTATTATAAGGGCGTGAATGGGCTCTCCAAAGTGTCCTTGATTTAAACCATAGATGAGTGAGCCTCTCCATTCCATAGGTGTGATTTTTAATCGCTTTAGGATGCTCACCTTATTGACCCTTCGGTCTCCATTGCTCTTCTCTATACATCTTTCTTTCTTTTCTCATCTTTCCAGCTCTACATCTCTAAACTGAACTTTCATTCTCACAGTAAAAATATTTAGTCTGCCTCATTTTTTTTATGCATTCCTTTTTTTGGAAGTATGTTGAATACTAATAAAATACTGCTATGATATACGTGTACAAACAGCCCAAAGTTATAAGACTTACCACATATGGTGTGGATTATAGATGCAGTCAAAATATACAGTAAGACAGAAAACCGTAATGCACTAAAAACATGTTTGACTAAATACCTTTTGTGGGTTTTTTCTAAGAACTAGGATAATTTTGAAGAGTGTGAAGAGTTTTGCATATTTTTTGAAATATGTGTCTAAGAGGAGGAGAGAACCCATGTTTTATACATATCTGAAAAGAAAGTTGAAGTGAGCTTTGATATAAGTATTGAATTAATGAACCAGCCCACTCTATTAGGAACTTTTTGTTTTAAAATAGATTTCTGGCGTAAAAAATGAAATTTTGAGTAAATAACAAACGAGCATAGTTTATAATTCTTAAATTATATGGCTATGGAGAAATTTAGTTTTCTTGATATTTGAGGAAATACTTAAATAAGCGTCTTGTTTTTAATTTCCTAGCAGATTCCTTTTTAAATCTGAGAATGGAGTAAACATATTGCTAGAAATTTTCCTTATGCATTTCCTTTATGTATATACACTGTATTTTGAATACATGTAGTATAAAGTATTTTGATATGTGTGCATTTGTTATACTGGGATAACAAATAATGCCACAGAAAGAATAATGTCCAGTAATGTCATAATTAAGTGCAATATTCTTATTTCTTTTTTAAAAATTGATTTATGTTCCGATTTGTCTAAGGTGTGTATATTAATGCTTCAGTTAACTTTACTGATTTTTGCTCATTTTAAGAATTCTAGTTTTGAACCTACAAAAGAAATGAACACCTCTATTCTGAGATTTTAATAGATTTTCGTAAGTATTCCTATCTAATGTTTTGCTGTTACTTTTCTAAGGAATGACAGTAGACAATGATACAGGGAGATGTCTAACTCAAGACAGATGTGGGATTCCAGTTGTTGACCCATTTGTAGCAGAAGAATCTGAGAGAAATACCAATGTGCCATCAGCCGCGCTTGGAGAGCCCAGGGTGGTTGGCGGCACAATGTCGTGGCCCTGGCTGGTCAGTCTGCAGCACCAAGGACATTACTGCAGAGATGCTCTGATTGCAAAACAGTGGGTCCTGACAGCTGCACACTGTAACTTTAGGTGTGTGCCTGTGTGGTGCAGGGGGTGCTGGAGCTCTTTGGGGATCCCCGGGTGTTCTCTGCTCTCTCCATGTCACAAGTAACTTTAAGCATCAACCTCCCATTTGCAAATGAATGAACATACTGTATTAGGTTGCTGAAACTTTCTGGGCTTCACTAATACACTTAGAACTAATTGGTTTTAATTTTAAAAGCTGCTTCCTGCTTTTAGGTGTAATTTAGTTAATAAGCAACCAACAATGCTCCCTTCTCTTTCCTCCGCTATAAAATGGAGATAATGATGTCTCAGCACTTTCTCACCAGTCTCTTAACACCATACCTAGAGCATAGGGGTTGCTCAAATGTGGATTTCTTTTCTCCTTGCTCTCCTGTTCTAACTTGTCTTTAATTTTATCTGAATCTTGGTCTCAATGTAATGTGGAAATACCTGAAAACTTCTTCCTCGGAAGTGTTAGCTTGATGCTTTTCATATCAGACTTGCAGTAGAGATCGTGACACTATCGCTCAATGTCCCATAGCTAGTCCCATAGCTAAGTGAGTAGATGTACTGTCTTCAGTGTCTCTAAAATAACTTGGAGAGCAGAAATCTTCAACAAATCAAAAACTCATTTACTTTACCATTCCCCAACTCTTACTCTTAAATCATAAGAAGGCATCCTTATTAAGGCAGTTTTCAGACTTTCATGTACTCAAAATTACCCGGGGAGTTTGCTATAAATGGAATCTTAGAATTTTAATGCTGAATTTTGATTTTATGAGTTATGTCTGGGATTCTGCATTTTAAATGTACATGCCATGGTCCTAGAGGGTATTATGCTAAGTGAAATAAGTCAGATAAAAAAGACAAATGATTTCACTTATATGTAGAATCGAAAGAGCAAAATAAATGAACAAAGAAAATAGAAACAGACTTATAGATACAGAGAACAGACTGATGGTTGCCTGAGGGGAAGGGTGTTGGGGGCTGGGTGAAAAAGTTGAAGGGATTAAGAAGTACAAATTGGTCATCACAAAATAGTCATGGCAATGCAAAGAACAGCATAGGGAATATAGTCAATAATATTGTAATAACTGCGTAAAGTGCCAGGGGGGTACTTGAAATAACAAGGGACCGCTTTGTAAAGTATATGGTTGTTTAACCATGTGCTGTATACCTAAAACTAATACAAAATAATATTGAATGTGTACTGGAATTGAAAAATTTTTTTAAAAAGAGGAATTGAGGGATAGAGGGTAAGGATAATGGTAAGGTGAGATCAAAGGACTGGGGAAAATTGTAACAGCAAAGGCTTATAAGATCTTTAGTGTTTAGAGGAGTGCTGACATCTGGACACTAAAGGAACTATGCTGGAAAGGACCATCTAGTTAGATATTAAAGTCACCAAGACTTATATATAACAGCGATAATGTTGGAGATGGTGACAGTGAATCAGGAGCTAATCTCTCAAGGCCTGAGGACTGAGCATGGAGGGGAATGAAGGGTGTGAAACTCAGAGCAGAGGAGCAAGGAGAGGCATCGCACTAGCAGGTCTAGTTTTATGAGCTATACTTACATCTCCTGAGCTAAGATTAATCTGTCTTTTCTGTAACTTAGCTCTCTCTCCTAAATTCTGGACACTTCTTTAAAGGAGTATATAAAATAAGAGCAAGTTTTGTTTTACAAAGATTTAGTTGATGCTTTTGTGAAAAAAAAAAAAACAAAAAAAAAAAACACACAAAACTTTTAAAATCAATTTAATCAACTTTTTAAATCAATCAACATTTTTAATCAATAAAAATACTGACTTTAACCTATCACTCCAAGATACTTTTCAGCTTTATATTCAACAGTATAGCCAACCGAGTTATACCTCAAAACCTTTAACATATTTTGGAAGGAAAACTGTTATATGTTCACTTTTTATAATTTACATATGATTGTTTATTTTGTGTTGACATACATACCAGAGACCATTTTTTGTGTGTATTTACTGGGAACTTAAATTATTTGCCTGATAAAGAGACAAATAAAAAATAAACAAATGCACATGCCAGATTTAATGCATGTAGTCCCGACATTTCTTTGAGAAACATTGTATTAGACCAGTAGAGTAACTATAGCTTTCAGTGACCATTTTATAAAAATGTAATGTAATCTATAATATTATGATTCTAATAATATTAGAATTATTACCTTAAGGCATCATGAATCTTAATCATCAAAGAGATCATTTTATTTAATGTTATGAAGGCAAGAAAGTAGATATTTTAAATTTTTCCTCAAGGATTTAATGAGAAACCCTCATTTTCTAAGCATTCAAGGTAATAGGTTGTAATGTCCATTAGAAATTGCCTGGCTTGAGGGGGCAGGTGGAGGAGGGTATGGGGAGATAAATGGTGATGGACAGAGACTTGACTTGGGGTGATGAACACAGAATACAATGTACAGATGACGTGTTGTAGAATTGTGCACCTGAAACCTATATAATGTTGTTAACCAGTGTCACCCCAATAAATTCATGAAAAAGGAAAAAAAGAGGAAATATTAAAAATATATAGTTTTAGTGATTTTGAAAAATTATGGCTTTAGTAAAAGTGGTATCTATTCTCCCACTTCCTTTTTTTAAGACAAGTACTGTCACGGGCGTAGAAGTTACCTGGAAGTAGAAGTTACCTCTGGAACACAGGAAAGAGCGATGCGGTACGTGTGCAAGCTGTGTACACTCACCCTGGCGTCACAGTTTCCTCCTATTGATGACGTTGCCTTGTTGCGTTTGGACAAGCCTGTCGAACTAGGTCAGTCCGAATAACTCTCTTCCATATTTTCAACTCTGCCACATAGTTTGTATCTTTCATCTTGCTTACAAGCGCTGTATGTACTTTTGACGTCAAACAATTATTTCAGAGCTTTCTCATATTCTAAGGCATTTTCTCTCAAAGCTGAAGTACCTACATAAACATTTTCCTTTTCTGTGTTTTTAATTAATGGAGGTCTAGAGAAAATGTCAAAGAAATACATTTTTAACTTTGTTCTATTTATTCTTCTGAGACTGTTGTAGCCTATGGGGTTAAGCCAAAAACTTAGGAGTTTGAACCACCAGATGTTCAGTTTTCTGTACCTTCATGGCTTAGTACAATTTTGCCTTTTTAAATGTTTATTTAAACCATTGCTCCCGTGAAAGTGTTAATCTGACTCTGTCACCTAGTCGTCAGGCAACCTTGGACAGGCAGGTGATATAATCGTTCTGAGCCTCAGCTTTATCATTCATAGAAAGGGAATTACAATAACCCACCTACCTACTTAGCACAGGCGAACATTTCCAGCGAAGGCGTACTGGGGGCAATGTAGGTAAGGCCTGTGGATCGTCCCCCACCTCATACGGTGCCTTCACTCCAACTCTCTCCTGTGTTTCTGCGCCCTCCAGCTCTTCCTCTGCAAAGAGCCTCACCTCGCTTATGTCTTTGCCATGCATCCACCCTGCAAACTCCAGCCATGGCTCAGTTCGCCGTTTGCTTTTTGTGCTTTTATAACCGAGTCAGTGAGAGCATCTAGAGCTTTTTAACCTGGGCTGTGCATTACAATTCTTTAGGTTGCTTTAAAACAAAACAAAACAACACTATAGGCCAGGATGCATTTTGGACCATTTAATCACAATCTCAGGCCTGGAGACCTGGCATCAGGCCTATTTTTTTCTCTTTATCCTGATTTAAAAATTTGTTTTCATTAGACTTTCTATGTTGAGATTGTTGTAGATTCACATGCAGTTGTAAGAAATAATAGAGACACTAGTGTACATGTTATCCAGTTTTCACCAATGGTGACATCTTGCAGGATATTGACATTGATGCAGCAAAGATACAGAACATTTCTGTCACCACAAGAATCCCTACTGTTGCCCTTTTATAGTTAATAAATTATGGTACCTCGATCTGAATACTGTGTGCTACTAAAAACGAATGATTAGGTAGATCTATATGCAGTGATATGAACAATGTAACCATAGGCTAGTAAATAAGAAAATCAGAACAAGAAAAATGACCAGTTAAAAAAATATGTTGGTAGAGGGAGGAAAAGTTTTATTTTAGCTTCAGGAAGTTTGGCAGGAAATGATATGATAGACCAGTGACTATCTGTGAAGGCAACATAAGATTTGGAGCAGTTGGCACATGTGTGGAGAGATGAGTAGGACAGAAATAGACAAGTTACACAGAGAGTTATGTGATTTCATTAAGAGATAGCAGTAAAAATAGAGGACAAGTCATTTTTAAAATGGCCTAGGACAGCAGGTATGCTGAAGCATGAAGTATGTTGCAGTCTGGCCAGGAATGAAGTGAAAGAGCCTGGACAACAAACACAGGAGCGCTGCATTCAGTGCCTTGTGCGTGTCATGTATATGCACATGGGCACACATACACATATAAACGCACGATATTTATGTGTAAACAAATTTGGCGATAAGAAAAAAAGTGAATGTTTAAATGTATAATGTATAAATATAGCTTGTAGTATGCCTTTATTAGCTGTAAAGTTAGATATAAAGTACTTAATAGCTATATAATTACTTAAAAGGTTTAAATTGCTACAAATGCGGTTTCCCCCACTCCTCATGTAATATAGTTGAAGAAAAAAAGACGATTATATTCTCCTCCACTGTCATCTCAAATTCGACAATGTGATGTCCTGGACGCACTTGGACAAAAAGGCAGACACATTTTAAAAAATGGTTGTGGGTGAGAAACTAGGAGCCCCACATCTCAGCGTAGGGCACGTGTTTCCAGTGTCCTAGGAGGATGTGGGACTCCCTGGAGCCAAGTGGTAACCCATCAGTTGGGATGATCCCTTCTGCGTAATTAACAGATGTCATCTTCTGGAAGACTCATTTATGAAATTAACATAAATGGGTACTAAAGGTCAAAGTAGATATTTCAAGAGTCATCACTGAAAAGCAAACAATGTTAATATCAACCCTAGGGACTCAATGATATTTGCCTCTTTCTTTCTCATCTTTTTGATTAGGAGAGTTTGTATCTCCAAGCTGTTTGCCAGTACACTACTTTCCAGATGTATGACTGCTGGATGGGGATTCACTGAACCACATCGTGAATATATTCACTGCCTCTTCCAAGATTAGAATCCAAACAAATACACGTGAAGTCTGAATATACTCTCTATTCATTTTCAATTGTTCTGTATTTTTAATAGAAATGATTGTAGAAAAAGTCTTTTTCCTAATGGATTTAAAGGTGACTGCTTGGGTTTTAGGTCATCATATTTATTGATGTTAGTTCACTGATGAGAGTTCATTGCTACTTGTAAAAATTTGTGTTGGAGAATATCTAGTGATTTTATTGATTAATACATATTTGTGTGTCTCATTTATGTGTAATTACTCCCCAATTGTACTGTGAACACATGCACTCACACAAACAATTGATTTCATAACAGTACACTACTATAGTGAAAATCCATACTTGAAGATATGCGCCTATTCCTGAAGATATGAGACATTTTTCTGAAATGATAGGCAGGTAAAAATGGTAAATAAGTGTAAAGATGGTGTGAAAATGACTAGTCCATATAAAGACCAAACCCATAACTCTGGTCTCATTTCCACTGTATTCTACAACTGAAATGACAAGTTACAAATAAATACCCAATAAACTAAAGACAAAGTCACAATTAAATTTCAGTTGCCAGCTGCCAGACTGGGTCAGCGCTTAAACATAATGTCTGTTAGGCAAAAGTCAAGTCAAAAGAATGAGAACACCCTGAAAGAAATGGAAGAAAGTATGGATTTAATGTGTAAAATATGAATTGTATTTTTTGCTTTATCAACAACTCATTTGGGTGTAAACTTTGTCTTTTTCCTTCTATAAAATATTATTTTTCTGTCTTATTAGGACTGTCCTAAAGGCAAAATGTCCCACATAAAATTTTTGTTGTTTTTTTGTTGTATAAGCCACTGTGGAGTAATAATATCAGGTTTTTGTTGTTGTTGTTTTAACCAACCACCTAACAGCATCATTACATTGCTGAAAGGAAAGAATGAGTGGGATTTAACCTTTGAAGTCTATCTATAATATAGGGCTATTTTTGTTTTATCATTTAAAATCATTTGCCTAGGTTATATGTGTTTTTATTCCTTTTCTACTAGAAGATGAATTTCCTAAAACTGTGCAGCAGACAGAGGTACCATTGATCAGTAGTACATCTTGTCGAAGCTACTGGGGACTGGATATTAAAAACACCAATATATGTGGAAGGGCCACAGGATCATCCTCATGCATGGTGATTCAAGGATTGCATTGATGAGTGTAGGAGTTTGCTTCTCACTGTTGTCTCATGAATGGGTATTTGCTGACAATAAAGAGGTATAAATGTATGGTACTTTTAAAATGAAAAGTGAGAAGATTAAGTACATTGCTAAGTTGATGTGCCGTGATTGTTAATTTGATACGTGAAGTGAGCTCAGGTCTCGGAAGGAATTACTCATTCATTTGCTTAGTTGAACTATGTGAAATTGATGATATCCAACTGTTTTGACCTACAAAAATGATAATTTTTGACTTCATAGCTGAATTCGGTAGCTCGAAGTACCTACTTCTAGCAGCATTAAAGATATAAAGATGTTTTCATGAAAATCGAAACTATCATTTAGCCATTGTATTTAGTAGATGCTTGAAATTTTCTGCATGGCACACTTTATTGTCAGCATTGACTTAATTCGTGCTCAGTGTATCTTTTAGCCTCTCCTTGAAAATATAGATTTTGATATGATTCAGATATCTGTAACATCTGCCAACTACCTGAATGGCTTTGGTTCCCTATGTTGTTGTGAGTAGAAATAAGAGATGAAAGAGTGACAGGAACTGTCAGATCATCCTCTCCAGCTGGGGTTAGCCTCAACCATAGGCCGTGCAGCCAGCAGAACTTCTCTCTGCTGGTTGCGGGGAGATTCTGGAAGACCACTGCCATGCAGCCAGGATGGGCAGTACAAGCTCATTGGTATTGTGAGCGCCGGAAGCAGTAACTGCCATCCCACCACACCCACGATCTTCACCAGAATTTCTGCCTACAGAGACTGGATCACATCCGTCACTGGAGGAGAGGCATGATCACAGAGATAGTAGCAAGGCTGAACTGTGTTATAAATGGGAAAGAACACAACAGTACACCTAGTAAATGACTCTTGTCAGTACTGAAAAACTCATGTCACTTCCCCCAACCTTGTATTGAGGAACTTGGATTTGGTGTGTTTCAGACGTTCAGTGTTAAACATTGGTCACAGAAAGTTAATGCTGCTTCATGCCTCCTGGGAATTTACAATCTGAAATGTCAGTAAGTTTATATCGAGTGTACCCTGTATATGTCATAGTTGAATACCATAATATACACTTTTATAATTTTTCTAGCTTAGTAAACATTGGAAGACATGAAGGGAAATGTTTATTCAGTCCATAAAATTATTAATTTTATTCACACAAAATACCCTGCACACAGTTAGATAGGAAAGGTCCCTGTAAGTTTCACAATTTCAGTGAGCAATGGACATTTCAGAAATTATTTATCAGGCTTATCACTTGATTTTTAAATGTTTAGATAAAATTTTAGGATATCTCAATTGTTTACAAAACATTTAATTTATCTGTACCTCTTTCTCTAAGCTGCAGCCAGGAATTAGGGGGCAAGTAACTAAGTCTATGATGTCTACACTATGCTGCTGCTTAAAAATGTAAGGGAGGTAGAAATAAATCAACTTAAAAGTTGATTTAAAGTATTTGGACTAATCCTGACAGGAAAGTCTGGAAATGAAATTGCATCAGTGGAAACTATTTGTCCTTACATTCTAGGATAGTTTTCAATTTTGTAAAATTTAATATTTCAATAAATGTTAATTCACTAAGTAAAAGGGCAGTTTAGTGTTGTGGTCAGTATTTCTCTGCCTCTCCCAATTACGTGACTTTGGGTTTATCACTTAACTGCCACTTCACTCAATTTCCTTATTTATGAAACAGGTAAGTAACGGCATTACCTTACACTATTAAATGAGATAAGGCAAGTAAAGCATTTAAAACAGTACTTCCTGGGGGGGGGGGCAGTGCTTACTGTATAAGTATCAGTCATCAATACGCCTTTCTAAGACTTCTCTGGTCAATCAATCAGAAAATTAAAATCTCAAGTGTTTAACTGGAAAATCAGATAACAGATGGGCTTACTCTCAAATAGCTCCCGTTTGACCTTTCTTTCTCTTACCTCTTACACTGCGAGGTGTTAGGAAAAGATGAAGTATGCTCTCAAGAAATATTTGACTGCATAGTACGTATTGGCAATAAAAGGGTGAAAAAGATGTGCTTTCTTAAGGAGCATACTATCTGGAAGACAAAAACATTGAACAAATAATTAAAAGCGTTAGGTATGTCTGGAAAAGGAAGTTTAAATATTCTCAACAGGGGAAAATGCGGAGGCAAAGCCAGGGAACGAGGAGTTTTGAGGAGTGATACGCATTAGGATTGCAAATTGTAAATCCTGCGCTCAAGTCTTTCATCACAAATGAAGTACGAGGAGTTGAGAGAAATTGGTTCTGCGATGTCTAAGTGTCCGTCAGAAGGTAAATCTGTCTTCCTGGAGAAGCCGATTCCTTACTGGCCACGTGGTTACAACCGAAATAAGTTTCCACCGCTGTTCCGTGTGGCCACGCCCCTCTCTTGACCACGCCTCTTGGTTCACAGTACACTGCGTCAGCAAAGGGCGTATCGCGAGAACTCTACATTGCCTCCCTCTGCCTTTTTCCGCGGTAGTAGTCATTTTGTTCTCGCGATATTTCCTGGTAACCGGGAACCCGGGCGACCCGGGCTCTGTGAAACATGGCGGTCGGCTGGGTCCGAAACACAAGGTAAAACACTGAAACCCTGCCGGGTGCTGTTCTCTCGGTTGTTCCAGGGCTGTTCCGGTCGTGAGTGTAGTTAAGGGGGCTGAGAGCCTGTCGTGGAGCTGGCGCCCTGTCTTCATCGCTCTCCCGTGGGGAGCGAGCGGGACCCGGGAGCCGCTCCGCTTCCCCGGGGGCGTTACTGGCAGGACCCTGGGCAGCGCTAGCCTGGGAGCTCCCCTCTCCCCGGCGCGGCTTCTCTGAGCTATCCTGCAACTTGAAGGAGTTTAGGTGCTTCCCCGATAGCTGCTGACCCCGACCTCTTGTTTCTCACAGTTCCCGGTGCCCTGGGGGGCGCCTCCGGTCCGCAGGCGAGAGGGTCCCGCGTTGTGAAGACCATATGGGTCAGGTCCCGGCCCTCCCGGGTGTCGGGCTCCCCACCACCATTCAGACAAATACCAAATTCTTGGCAGCAAGTTGCTCCCTCTTTTTAAGAACTACTGAGGTCTTGGCCTCACCTGGAAGGAGAGTTTCGCACCTCGCTTGGATTAAAAAAAAAAGGGGGGGGCAGGGCTGGGCGAGATGTTATGAGGGAGGTCCGAGTGTCACGACTTTTCTTAACCTTCGAGGATTAAGAAACCCTTGGAAGGTGATTTGCCAATTCGTGGTAGAGAATAAACAGCCTGGGTAAAGGTAGTATCTAGAGTTGAAAGATCATTATTTGAGATCATATAGTTAGGATTTAGTGCCCTGGAGACAACGCAAAGTTACATCGTAATATCTGTTAAAATGTTGCAAGACTGGCTTTCAGAAGCAATTAAATAGTTAAAACAGGATTTAGTCCTATGTTGGAAGTTGTACTTTCAATATTTCAAGTAATTACTTAGCCTGATACTTGGAACTCTAGTATACAGCCATTATAAAGAAAGAAGTCAGGCTTGTTCACTGAAGAATTCAGGACGTAAACTGGCTTAATTCATTTGCTTATCCATATCTTTAAATTGGTGCCATTATTCCAGTTCTCTTAGAGGTAAAAACGAGAAAAATTCGATGGCTTGGGAGTTAGGCGGGGGAAGGGAAGGAGTTTCTTTTTGAAAATAAAGTTTACCACACAACTGAGTATTTGTAGAGTATTTATAGTGACTGGAGGGTACAAATCATAAAAATAAGTCAAGCTTGAAAGATCTCTCAAAGGAAATCAGGCCTATTCGGGTACAGCAACAAAAAAGAATTAGAAAAAAAAAAATTTATTTTCTTTGGGAGTTAGTCATTTAATTGAAGGGAATAGTGATTTTATTTTTAATAGAAGTTATTTTTATGCAAGTCTCTTTCTGCTACTAATCCTAGTTAACAGTTTTTCAGTATTCTTACTGTCTATTAAATGTCATAATGTGCAAATTAATCTCTTTGTGCCTTAGTTTCCTTATCTGCAATATGGGTGTAATAATAATGCCTAACTCATGTGGTGATTGATATGGATTAAATGAGTTAAAACATGCAAAGCATTTAGAACAATGCCTGGCATACAGTTAACATTCATTATGTGTTAGCCCTTGTTATTTAAAAAACTTTTTTCTAACTTCTGCGGTTTCTCACAAAATGTTGCTTTGGTACTTAGTCAAAATACAGACTGAAGAAGACTTTTTTTTAAAAAAAGTTTCTTTCTGACACCCAAATTATTGGAATACTCTCCATTTTATAAGGTTAATATGTCTTTCCACTCCATCTTCCATTTGCTTGCTTTCTTAAGCTGTTATCCTCTCTAAGCTAAAAATGCCTCCTTTCTACTACTCCCTATAGTCTTATTGCAGTCTGATCAGCACTATTGCTCTGTAAGTGCCTTGTTAACCCATTCTCCTTGCTTTGGGGACATTCATTCTATTGTAAATAATATTTCATGTTTCCCTGACCTTTTCCTTACTGTTCCTCATACTTCTTTACTGTAGTTTTATACACTTTTATTGAGTAGTTGCTATAGTCAAGCCATTCTTTGAGGTGGATATTTGTCCTTGGTTCACATTGTTACTGGGCACTTTTGCTACTTACTATGTTGTAATCATTCTGTAGTCTCTTCTCTTAACTTTTATTCTAGTAATTTGTATCATCCTCAGTCTATTGATGTTATTAACTAATCTCATATATTCTCCCACTTTCCTTAAAGGCGTTAACATAATTCTCAAATATCCTACAAATATTTGCATTTCTTTTGAGTATTAGAAAGAAGCATTTATTGAATGTCTCTCTTTTTTTAACATTTCTTTATCGATTTCAGGGAGAGGAAGGGGGAGAGAGAGAGAAACATCAGTGATGAGAGAGTCATTTGTAGGCTGCATCCTGCACACCCCCTACAGGGGATCAAGCCAGAAACCTGGGCATGTGCCCTGACTGGGAATCGAACCTTGATCTCCTGGATCCTAGGTCGATGCTCCACCACTGAGCCACGCCTGGCTGGGCGAATGTCTGATTTTTTTTATCTTGAGTAAAAACTGTGAGGTAACCACTATTTCCCTCTCCCTCCTTTTAAAATACAATGATAATAGAGGTTTCTGAGAAGTTGAGGATCTTCCCAAATTTGTCACACAACTAATAAGTGCCTAGGTAGTAACCCAAATGTTTCTGATCACAAAACTCATATTTATACTGTCTTACTTGGCTTCCAAGTAAACCTTTTTAATCACTTAGAAGGTTATTAGATTTATTTGAATTATATTATGGTGAATAATTTTAAAAACATAACATTTACCTAAGCCTGTAAGTTTTAAAGTAAAAGGAATAAGTACTTCTTTTGGATATTCCAGTGTTTGTAAACTGAAGCTAAGCTATCTTTCATAAAAACATTTTTATCATTGTGTATTTTAATGCAATTAAGTAATTTAAAATTACAGCTAAGTTGTAGTTTTGCTTTTCCTTTCTGAAGTTCAGTGTTAGTCTGGATAATACTTGTTCTGTTTCCTTTCTCATTCTTACTAAAGCCTTGTTTTAATTTTATAGGGCTACTGTAACAAATTACCATACACTGGGTGGCTTAAAAATATAGAAATTTATTCTCTTATAGTTCTGGAGGCTTTCAGACTGAAGTCAAGGTGTCAGCAGGGCCATGCTCCCTCTTACAGCTCTAGGAAAGAATTATTCTTTGCCTCCTCTAGCATCTGGGCAATCTTTGGCACTCCTTGGCTTGTAGATGCTTCTAATCTCTGCCTCTGTTTTTACGTGGTATTCTCCCCCATGTGTCTGTGTGTCTTCACATGGCCTTTTTAATTTTAATTTTAATTTTTGCTTTTTTCTTTATTGGACACTTTGTAGATTTACCTCCCATGGTTTTCTTAATAATGACACTAGTCATTGGATTTTGGGCCACTCTAACCCAGTATGATCTCATCCTAGCTGATTACACCTTCAGAGACCCAAATATTTCCAAAGAAGGCCCATTCCCAGGTGCCGGGGTTAGGATTCCAATATATCTTTTTGAGGGACACAGTTGAACCTATAGCATGTCCATATGTATTAACCAATTAAATATTTCTCATATTGCCAAATACATTTTTAAAATAGAAGTTAGCTCCTAAAATGTCTGTAGCAGGAGATAAATTGTTTCTCCATTTTTGTTTGGAGAAGTAAGTAAACTTAATTGAGCAGACAGCCTAAAAAGTGTCATGAATTCTACACTTTAATTTTTGGCAAAGCATCTGATAGTCTCATATTCAAATGGATGCAAGGATAAAATATGGGCTACAGAACATACATACTTAGACTGAGTGTTGATACTATGTGTCACTGTGTTCCAGCATGAAAAGTGGTTTCTTATTTCTTATGCAGCTTTTCAAACCATTGTCTTAGTCTCAACTGTTATCAATGACGACCTGGAGTTTTTTCTTTTTTTCATACATGACAGTTTAGGAGAGAAATTGGAGAAAACAGAGATGGTACTACAGATTGTCAAAATATGAAGAGCAGCACCAACCAGTAGGCAAAGGAATCTAGTGCAATGGTACCTAAAATTTGGTACTGCTCCACAAAATCTAAAACTTTAGATTTTAAAACATATATAGAAACATATATAAAACATATATAGAAAAAAAGAAAAGGGGCTGTATTTGAGGATTGACATAGAATTGCAGTTTTTAATTTTACTAATGGATACATCTAAAAACAAAAGAAAAAAAACCCTGTCTACATCATTTCAAAAAGAAAAGACATTTTGATATGTAAAAGACATTCTGACTTCTGGAAACCACAAATCTAGGGTATTTCTAAGTCATTTTTAAAAATAGCTGACTGAACTGGATGGAGAACAAATAGAGTGTGAATGGGAGCAATCGAACTGGATTAACAGAGGAGCCCAAGAGATTGAGAACACAGGGAAAATGAAGAGCAAATTAATTCTCTCCTAGTCAGGCAGTTAAGGAGTTGGGAGGGTAATTGGTTCTGCTTAGAGAGGAAAATTAGTGTCTTGGATTTTAGAAGTGGAGCAGTTTTAAAAATTAAGAGAGCCAAAGCATGGCCTTGCTTGGTGAGGCCTTGGGTAGAATTAAGATGGAGGTCACTGGAGTAGATCTGTTCCATTTACATGGTGAAAGGGTTATAATTGTGAGTGACTGCCATAGGATGAGTGACAGGTCGTGAGATCCAAAGGATGGAGGAGAAGAGAAGCAGATTTAGTGATCCAGATGCTGAAGTCATTAGGGAAATTTTTTTTAATTTTACTTTTTTAATTGAATTTATCAGGGTGACATTGGTTAATAAAATTATACAGGTTTCAGGTGTACAATTCTATAAGACATAATTTTGTGTTGTGTGTTCACCACCCTAAGTCAAGTCTCCTTTCACCATTTATCCCCCCTGGAATTATAACTGTATCCAGATGGAGAAAATGGTAAGTACTGAAGTGAGAGTGTACACTGTGCTTTGGAGCGCGAACTCCGGAGCCAGGCTGCTTCTACCACCTGCTGAGTGGCCTTGTAAAAATTACTTGACTTTTCTGTGCCTCAGTATCCTTATATATAAATGAGATAAAAATAGTATGTACTTCATAGAGTCGTAGAGGATTAAATGAATTAATATATAAAGTGCTTCAAATAATATCTAGCACATAATATAGAAGTTAGGCTGTAATTCTATGTCGTATATGTGTTTATTATTGGAAAATAGATTTGAAAAAGGAAGAGGTGGTTGAGAAATAATGATAACACATGCTACATTTTTTTTACCCTTTGAGTCTCAGAAATAAAGTAAGAACTTAAAGGGAATTACAACCAGTTGAACATCAGGTTTTCATATTGAGAGCAGGTAGAGTTTTTTAAGAAAAACTAGGAGTTATTGGATAACTTGTTCATATCAGAACAGTGGCTCTGTAGATGAAAGTGGCAAGTACTGGAGATACAATGAGTTTCTTGGATGTGGGTTGGTGCTGTAGGTTAGGAATGGGACAGGAGCAGCAGTAGAGTGACAAGGTACTCCATTCCAGAATAGTAATCATGGGAAATAGGAATGGAAGAAGCTAGAGATTGAGAAGCAGCCAAGTGGGATATGCTAGTTAGACTTAAGGGAGGAGTGCTGATAGGCTATATGAATTGTTAGAGGCTTTGTAAAACTAACTTTTACATATTTTTATACTTGCATACAGTTTAATGAAAGCATTTATAAAGCTTATAAAAATATAGAAAATTTAGGAAGTAACAATTTTATTCATTTGCCCAACAATGCTACCTACTATGTGCCAGCCACTGTTCTAGGTGCTTGGTACATACTGTGAACAAAACAAAACTCCTTCTCTTTGTGGATCTTATATTTTTATATATTTATTTATCTAAGAATGACAGTTCATTTTGATTGGAAAGCTGTGCAACCATGGATGTTTCTGGAGAAATTTCCTACCTTCATTTTTTCCTTCCGCAAATGTTTATTAAATACCTACTGTGCCAGGCACTAGACATACAAAGATCAAGTTCGACATGGTTCCTGCTATAACATTACAATGTAGAAAACAGGAAGTTAGGCAAGCAATTAGAAAGTGTTCTAGGAGCATATACTACAACTAGTATGTTTGAGGTCCTAGAAGGTTTTTTACTCCTTCAGAGAGATGTCTAGACTGAGACTTAAAGAGTAAGTAGGAGTTAGCTAAATGCAGAGGTCGAGGAGAGGGAGGGAGAAAGGGTATATTTGGCAGAGAACAACATGTTGAAGGACTAGAAAGTGATTTACATAGTTTGGCTAGAATTTAGACTTTGGTAGATTGGGTTAGAAGAAAGGTAAGCAGGACCTGGTTTTTGAGGGCTTTGTAAACTTTGTTAGGATAGAGTCCAAACTCTTCAAATGTAATGGGAATGAACCTAGGACAAAGATTTCAAAAGAAAATTTATATGATCACTTTTATATATTAAAAAAATTGTTGGCTGTAGTATGGGGAGTGAATTGAAAGATTGATAATTAAAGGTTGTTGAAGCAATGCAGTGATGGATTGTGGCAGTTGGGACCAGGGTCCTAGTAAGGAACTTCTGTGTGGGCCAGGAAAAGAGAAGAACATAAGTTTAAGAATGTAATTCATGCCCTAGCCAGTTTGACTCAGTGGTTGAAGTGTTGGCCCGTGGACAGAAGGGTCCTGGGTTGGATTCCAACCAAGGGCGCATACCTCTGTTGCAGGCTTGATCTGAGGTCCTGGTCAGGGCTGATGCAGCAGGCAACCAATCAATGTGTCTCTTTGACATAGATATTTCTCTCTCTCTCTCCCGCATTGCACTCCCCCTGAAAAGCAATGGAAAAATATCCTCAGGTGAAAATTAAAAGGAAAAGAGGAATGTAATTGGTGTTTCTTGCTTGTGTTTTTGGCTTATGTTTTGGGGTACATGGTGTTGTCATTAACTACGATAGGAACACAGGAGAAACAGGTTGGGTAGGGTGAAGTACTCATTTTTGAACTTGTTGAGTCTGAATTGTCTTTGGAGTTCCCCCATGAAACTAATAGAGGCAAAAAGACAATACACGTCTGCAGAGAGCTTTGGACTAGGAATAAAGATTTGGGAGGAATCAACATGTAGATGGAAACTGAAAGAATAGGAAATCACTTGGGGAAACTAGAGGTTGGGAGGAAGGCTTACTGCAGAATTGGAGGAAGAAGAATCCTCAGAGTAAGCCAAAGAAGGTCTTAGAGATAGAATGAAAATCAGGAGTATACTGTCATGCCATGGTAAGAGTGTTTCAAGAAGAAAAACGAGTGATAGTGTGTTTTCTCATAGGCAAAATTAGGTCAAGACTGACTGCGTCCATTGGATTTAGTACCTAGGAAGTTGTTAGTGACCTCACTGCGAGGAATTTAGTTAAGAGGTGAGCCTGTGCTGAGGAAGCAGTCACGGGATGAATGGGGACAGCTTACTCTTTTGAGTTTACCTGTGGGTATGCAGACAGAGATCAGTAGTTGGAGTTGGGCTTGAGCTTTAGTGGAGAGTTTTAAAGATAAGAAGATTGAACTTATTTAATATTAACTCCAGTAGGAAAGGATGAATAGGAGTGGAACGATTGGAGGAGGATCAGTCTTGGTGCAGTTACCACTCAGCAGGTACAGAAAATAAATTCGATTATTCTCTCAGTTGAACAGTTTTAGGGAGCAGGAGCTTGGCTTATGCCTAACAAACACTCAAGCTTAATTTACAAATGAGAATGTGAGTTTTATAACTTCCCTAGGAATTAGAAAATATCCTTTTTTGTCTACATGCTCCTTTTTTCTTAGGAAAACCATATACATGAGAAGCAAAATGATAACCTAAAGGCCGCTTTGTAAGCATGAGATCAACGGGAGTTAGTTGGATGTTTTTATCGGCAGATGAAATCAACCTGTATGTGCCTCCAGCTTCACCTCAGGGCTGAGTAGTAGTGTCCCTGGTTAGGGCCTGCTCACCTTTGGACAATATTCATGGTTGCTGCCAGTTTTTACTTCTCTGCCTCTCCTTTTTCTCTGTGAATGCCCTTTCTGTGGCCTGTCCTTCTATATTAACCCTACCCACTAGATTTTAGACAAATCTTTCTGCTTTTTTTTCTAGAGACATTCTTTCCCTTTTAATGGCTTCTGCAACCATTCGATGTATTCTGCAGCTAGGTGTTGATTTTATTGATACAACTTTGATTTCTGGTAATGCTTTATAGTATCACCTATAGTATTTCTGTAAATCAGTCATAAAAATCATATAAATACTTGAAAATTCAGTTGTTTTTATGGCTATGTAATGTACCTTGGATGTAGTTGGCATGCTGACAAGAATAGCAGTCAACTTTTAAATATTTTTATACTAAAATTAGATAATTTGGTAAGTTGAGCATTTTGTAGAGAAGACAATTAAATCCGCCCATAATCTACTTTTAACATTTTTGTGTATATATTGGATACCATGAGTTTGTTTCTATCTTCAATAGTTACAAATAACAATATGAGAAATATCCCTATGATCCAGTTTTTTTGCACAACCCAGATTATTGCCTTAAGATACATTCCTAAAAAAGGAATTTAGTCAAAATAGGAATAGCGTATAGTTATATTCTCATTAGCAATGTATGAGCATGCCAGTTTACTTCATTGTCATTTCTTAGTGGGACTGTATTATTTTTATATATTTGTAAATTTAATAGGAGAAAAATTACTATGAATGTGATTGACTTGCTTTTCACTTTTTTTTTTTCTTTTTTTGCTACTTAATGTGTTTGTGTAAATCACCTTTCATTAGTACTTTTTGTCAGGGTAGGAGTGGAGAAAGGATAGGAAAAAGTGTTAAGCTTTTTTTTCAAGGAGGAATGAGAATATTAAGTTCTTCCAAGGACAGTTATCTATATCTAAAAATATATATATGTAAATAAAAAATATTTTTTATCTTTTTATGGGATACATTTGTTCATTATTTCTTTCTTAGCATGACTATATGAAAGAAGAAGGTTTTCCTGAAGATGAGGCGACTGAATCGAAAAAAAACCTTAAGTTTGGTGAAAGAATTGGATGCCTTTCCAAAGGTTCCCGAGAGCTATGTAGAGACTTCAGCCAGTGGGGGTACAGGTGAGTATCAGTTCAAATTAGACTCTTTCACTAAATGCAGCTTTTGAGTGACCCAGTCTATATACAGAAATATAGCCATGAGAATGAACTCAATCAATCTGTAGGAACTTTGTAATTGGGCTGTTCTTACGTATGTGACGCTGTTTTGCTCTAATTTTATTATATATATTTTCTTTGGCATCTAATTCAGTGCAGTCTGTGCATTTAGCAGTGTTTATTAAAACACTACGTAAAAAATTTTACTGTTTTGGTGCTGGTGAGTTATGTATAATTATATTAATAAGATTATATATATAATTTAACTTGGAAGTTGTTTAATGATGTGAAATTCAGTGCTTTTACTTAAGAATAAATCAATTTAGACATTACAATAAAAATTCTTAAATTTTACATTACTGGAGAGAGGCAGCATGGGGTAATAGTTAAGAGCTTAGACTTTGGAATCGGACTGAATTTAAATCCCACTTCTTTCCTTTCCTAACTACTTGACCTTGAAGAAGTTAATCAGTCTATCTCTGCTTTAGTTTCCTCTTCCATGAATTGGGGATGATATCAGTATTTACATAGTAAGGTTGCTATAATGATTAAATAAGTTAATACTTATAAAATGCTTAGGACAGTGCTTGATACAGATAGAAGTATTTGTTAAATAAAATAAATAAATAATGGAATATATAAGAAAAATATGGAACTATAACAGTATTTACTATTATTTCTTTCCCTCTGAAGAGCTAATAAAATAGTATGTTTCATATAAGATTGACATTTCATTTGGTAAATGTGTACTAAGTTGCTTACTATTTCTAATCTCTTGTGATTAACTTTTGTTAACAAAAATAGTGCAAGTTCTTGTTGCACAATAGATTTTAAGTGTGTTTTGTCATAGTGTATGATAGTTCTTTCCTTTTTCTCACCTTTGTGAGTTGCTTTTATAAATGAAATGGTATGTTTAGGAGATTCCAAAGTAGAGGAGAGTTTTATTAGAGATTTGAGATGTATGTTTTTTTTAAATTGGGCTGCAAGCATGGATGCATTTTTAGTTATGAGGGGACTGTTTTCAAATTTATATTGTAATATATATGCTTACTTTATTGTATCTGTGACACTGCTATGTATAAGAAAGTAAAAGTTTTGTGTTATTAAAGAAATAAAATGCTTTCTCAATAATATGTTTGTGTTCATTTTTGTGTTTATTAGATCTTTTTTGAGCTGTTTTAGAAAAAATGTCTATAATGGACATTTTGAGAAAACCTTTTTATAGTGTTAATTCATATGGCAAGCATTAAGGCATTTGATATATTTAATCTCACTTAAAATAATTTCCTAGTGTTTACTTTTAAAAAATTGTTTTAATTCTCTTATTCTTTTTTGTTTGATTTCTCAGTTTCTCTAATAGCATTTACCACTATGGCTTTATTAACTATAATGGAATTTTCAGTATATCAAGATACATGGATGAAATATGAATATGAAGTAGACAAGGATTTTTCTAGGTAACTTTTTTCTTCTTTAAATACCTTTAGATTTAAGTTGTTTTAAAGATAATACACCTTTTTAAAAAATGTCTAACCTTTCTATTTGGTTTATTTTAGTTCTGAAGAAATAGTTCTTATAAACTCTCATTAATTACGTGCATTAGGTGAAACATTTTAGAATAATTTGAATACTGGTTAAATTCTAAAAGGGAGGTTCTCTGATTTGATATGCACTGTATAAAAAGGTTAGGAAAACATATAATGTGTTATTTTTTTTAAGATGTTGAACTGGTGGAGATTGTTTAATATTTTAAAATTATTTACTCTTTAGATTTTGAAATAGCTTACTGATGTGTGTAATTTGGAAAATATATTGTTTAAGTATACATTACATATACTTATAACTTGATTTTTATAAATTACATTTAAACTAAATTTTAACGTAAATAACATCACTTAAAACTTTGAAAATATAGTACCATAATAAGGATACAGATATACCATTTTTTATTATTTGGATTTTTTAATTGATTGAAAATAACAGATTTATAATATTAAGATTGTACTAGATAGGGGAGACATTTGCTTCTGAATTCCCATCCTAGCTCTACCATTTACTAGCTATGGGAAGTTACTAAATCTATATCTGCATGTGCTTCAGTTTCTTTTCCTACTAAATGAGGATAATAATTATAGTACTTTCTTCGTGATGCTAGTGAGAAGTAAATCCACGTTTGTAAATTGCTGTGTAACCTTGGGTAAGTCGCACAACTGACTTTTTTGGGGCCTCAGCTTCATCTGTAACATGAGTGTTATTCTTGAGAACATAGGTTTTCAAGGAATATGTTATTTTTCTTACTTTGTTTTTAGCACCAATGAAGCACTTTATTTTTTTCCAAATGGAGCCTTACATAGTTCACCACCTAAGCATAGTGAGGATGTCCAGAAGCCTGTCTACTTGGTCTTCTCCTCTGGTTCCTACAGCGTCTCCTGGGCTTAAACCCCAGGGTTATTTGGAGCACAGCTTGAACTCTAGACAATGTTAAGGCTCTGTGAAGCTCTCAAAATTTATTGAAAAATCTTTTGAAGCTCAAAAAATTCTTACTGAAACCATATGCAAATTATTCAAGTGAAAAAAGTTTTGATAGCATAGGACAAGTCTGATATTGATTGTACTCATTCTGTTATTCATGGTGCTTAATTAATTCTAATATTTGAAAATTAATTCAGTTTGAACTCATCATTTGAAAATAAAGCATTAGTTGAGCCTTTTAAAAAGACCATGCAAAACTTTAAGCATCGGAGGTTTTTTCCTGGTAATTGAGTTGCATTTATCAAGTCACACAGACCTAGTTTCCGATATGCCATTTCAGTGGTTACGTGATCTCATGCCAGGCATTTATACTACCCCGAACACTATTGTCTTACCTACAAAACTGTGAAGCTACACACTTCACAGGTCCATGGTAAAGAATAAAGAAGATAGTATTTGTAGGGAATCAGGCATAATCCTGATGTATATTGTATTTACTTGATAAACAGAGGAGAAAGACTTGCAATTCCTAACTCTTGATTTTGAAAGTTTTAAAGGAATATTCTACATAAGGTTCATATTCTACATAATCTTAACAAAGATTAAGACTTATTTTTCTGAGTTTCTTGGAGTTATTTAATTTAATAAAATTAAATTACAATATACTGTACTAAGAACCTATAAAATCATAAAGGCTTTTGGAATAATTGTAAAATAGAATTTTTACTTTTAAAGTGCCTTTGTTATGGCCATAAGAAATACATTTCAGTTCTAATAAGACATATTCTTGAAATCCACGTTTTTCATTGATTTCTATTTCTCATGTTTTATTGATTACTTGGTAGGTACTAAAGTTTCCTTTTTGTCTTTTAGCAAATTGAGAATCAATATAGATATTACTGTTGCCATGAAGTGTCAGTGTAAGTACACCTTGAACTTGGTGAATCCATATATAGTTATGGTTTAAACAATTGCTAGTAAAAGGCAAAACCCACTGAATTGTGTTTTATTTTTTCTTTACGATATCTTAAAGTGTATTGCAGTGCTATTTAATAATGCAAGTTGTTTTCTCCCCAACTTATATTCTTTAAATTTCTTCTCCAGAAAGAGAAGAGATTTAACTTTCACATTAGTATAATTCAAATAAAAGAAATTGGAGGAAATTTTTGTGAATGTGTTTTAGTTTAGGTGTATACTTTTTTTTTTTTTTTAATATATCTTTACTGATTTCAGAGAGAGGAAGGGAGAGGGAAAGAGATAGAAACATCAGTGAGAGAACATTGATTGACTGCCTCCTAAACACCCCCTACTGGGGATCGAGCCCGAAACCCAGGCATGTGCCCTGACCGGGAATCGAACCTCTATCTCCTGGATCATAGGTCACTGCTCAACCACTGAGCCATGCTGGCAGGGCTAGGTATATCCTTTATTTATTTCTTGTTTGGACTATCAGTTTTTACACTCATGTTTCTCAAGAATATCCTGTTCCACTCTTTCAGTTTACCACCCTTTACTTTTACTCTTGCATATTAAAATACAGATCAAAGTATTTTAAGTTAATAGTGATCTCTTTTCTGTTTTCTTCACTGGCTTCACTTGATTATACTGGTAGTAGTGAAAAAGTGTTAATATATATTCCTGATAATGTTTGAATCAGTACAACTTTCAAAAAATGAGGATGCTTTTGCATGAAAGTTATCTTTTAAATTACCACTTGAAAAGTGGAGACCAAGAATTTAGTAGTTCAGACGAAATTTTTTAAAGTGTGAAATAGTATTATCCCATTAAGGAAATTAATTTTGGGGACATTTTATCTCAGAAAAACCTTAAATTTCTTTTCCTTTTCCATTTATCTTTCCTTATGTTAGTGGTTTTAAGAGAAAGATACTTTGTATTCAAATTATGAGCTAGTATTAATACTACATATATCATATTTTACCTTATTTTAGGTGTTTAAATACCATTAGAATTTTAGCTTTTTCAAAATAAACTTTTTCTATTGACTATTGATATTTAAAAAGCCATCAGTAGCTTTGCCGTAAGATTTCTTTTAATCTCTAAAAATAATTCTTATAATTAACAATTTTTGTAGCAGCCATGTAGTACTTGTGTTTAGGTCCTTGCCAATTTTTGCAAAGCTCTTCAGTAAAGCTTATACATTTTACCATGAGATGCCGAATTATTTTTTTTACTGTGCAAGAAGTGGGAAAAGCATTATTTTTGGAATAATCGTGATCAAATCTCTGTAATGCTACTCTTTTAACTTTTAAATAAGCAGTGTAGGAAAGTGAGTTTTCTGTTAGTCATCTTAATATGTTAGTTATATCAGATATAGTTTGACTCAGCATAGAATGTAAAACGTCTAATTTTTTTAATGCAGATATTGGAGCAGATGTACTGGATTTAGCAGAAACAATGGTCGCATCAGCAGATGGTCTAGTTTATGAACCAGTAAGTTTGATTCCTGTGTTTTTAAAAGTAATATGCTTTAAGTAATTGTTCCCTTAAAAACAGTTTTGATATTTTCTTTTGGTTCGTCTTGTCTCAGCCATTTTTTAAAATATATTTCTTAATTCAAAAATAATCCATTTTTTTGGTAAAAATTTAGCAGGGGGGATGTTGTATCTAATACCAAAATCTTCAGATAACCATTGTTAGCATTTTGAATAAGCCTTTAATGTCTGTTTTATAATCTTATTCTTATTTTTTTCCCATTTTATTTTTATTTTAGTAGTATTAGTTTTTTAGTGTTCAAAATATTACAGATATCCCTATTTCCCCATTGACCCCTTCCAGTTGGCACCCACTCCCCTCCCCAGGCCTTCCCCACACTATTGCCTGTGCTCATGGATTACGCATATGTGCATATAGATTCTTTGGCTAATCTCTCCCCACCCACCC